CATACTCGGCTTCGTTGTTAGTCAACCTTGCAGTTTTAATAGATTGCCTGATCATGCCGCTCGTGGGTGGCTTCAGGACTTTACCGAGTCCGGATCCTCTCACGTTCGAGGCGCCGTCGGTGAACAGGATCCACACCCCGGAAGACATGCCCTCTTTTAGTAAGAGCTCCTTTTCTACCTTGGGCACGAGGGAGGGCGAAAAGCCGGCCACGAAGTCCGCCAGAATTTGGGACTTGATGGTCGTTCGGGGTTGATACTCCATATCATATCCCCCGAGTTCGATGGACCATTTGGCCAATCGGCCCGATAATTTGGTCTTATGCTATATGCTTTGGAGAGGGTAAGTTGTTAAAACGAAAATACGGTGGCACTGAAAATAAGGTTTCAATTTTCCCGATGCGCTTATTAGCGCAAGAGCTAATTTTTCCAGGTGCGGATACCTAGTTTTGGCATCCCCTAGGGTCCGACTTACATAATAGACAAGGAATTTCGTACCTTGCTCTTCTCGAACTAGCACACCGCTTACCGCTATCTTAGATATGGCCAGGTATAGATACAGCGTTTCATCCTCTTTTGGTGTGTGGAGCAAAGGCGGGCTAGTCAGATATCGCTTAAATTCTTCCAAGGCGTGTTGGCATTCTGGGGTCCATTCAAAGTTGTTTTTCTTTTTTAGTAAAGAGAAGAAATGATGGCTTCTGTCCGATGACCTTGATATGAACCTACCTAGAGCCGATATCCGTCTTGTCAGCCGTTGTACTACTTTTATGTTATGTATCACCGTGATTTCTTCGATGGCCTTGATTTTATCGGGGTTGATCTCGATCCCCTGTTCGACACCATGAAGCCTAAGAATTTTCCTGATCCAACTCCGAAGGCACATTTCTCTTGGTTAAGCTTCATGTTGTAACTTTATGTGTGAATATTGACATGGTTTTATATTTTCTTATATGTACATGTTTGAAGCATCTAAATCTTATAAATCGTAATAAGCTTTTTGTGATGGCGGAAAGTTGAATAAATTGATAAAAGAGTGGTAACTCTAGGCCTTGATTAGCGTCCTTAGAGTACAACGTATTTAGGATAATGGGAAAAGAAAGGAGAGAAGTTTATCCACCGAGTTTCAAACTGAACATCATCATTGGCTTTTCGTATTTTGGTGCTTGTATCAAATTGCATCCATTTATATGGTTAAGCAATTTGAAATGATTATATTATTTACGTGATTAAATGTACGTAAATGATAACTGTCATGTAACCTTCAATTATTTGATATAAACATTAAAATATGTCATATCTTCCCTGGCAGCTTGAATATCACCAAAAAATAGGAAAATTAGAAAAAATCGAATATAAATTGAATCAATGGTAAACTAAAACGAAAATTGTGACGACCCAAAGGGTCATTACATGTTTTCTCATTCATTCCGTGCTTTCGAGGCCTTGAAAACCTCATTTTTAGTCGCCTCAATTTGCGTGCGCAGTCCGGGCGCGTAGCCGGAAAGCCTAAATATGAATTCTGTGTGAAAAATAAAGAATTTTGATAATAATATGATTAAAGTTGACTTTGGTCAACATTTTGGGTAAACGGACCCGAACCCGTGATTGGACGGTCCCGGAGGGTCCGTAGAAAAGTATGAGACTCGGGCATATGCCCGGAGTCGAATTCCGAGGTCTAGAGCCCGAGAAATGAATTTTTCTGTGAAATTATTTTTCTGAAATTAATATGGAAATTTGAAAAGGAAATTGATTAGAACGTGTTGGTACCGGGGCCGTATTTTGGTTCCGGCGCCCGGTACAGGTCTTATATGTGGTTTAAGCGCTTTCTGTGAAATTTGGTTGAAATCGGACGTCATTTGACGTGGTTCGGACCTAAATATCTAAAAATGAAAGTTTATGAAGTTTGAAGAAAAACTGATGATTTTGAGGTTTGATTCCCCGTTTATGATGTTATTTTGGCGATTTGATCGCACGGTTAAGTTCGTAGGATGATGTTGAGTTAGCGTGTGTGTTTGGTTAGGAGCCCCGAGGGCTTGGGAGTATTTTCGGAGGTGTTCGGGGTGGTTTTGGACTTAGGAAAAGTTGCAGATTTTCTGCAATAGGTGCCCAGTCATTTCCTTCTTCGCGATCGCACTCTCTCTCCCGCGTTCGCGAAGCATCAGAATCTCCTTCACCGCGTTTGCGTGCAATATCTCGCGTTCGCGTAAGCCAAATTTGGGACCCCAGTATTTTCCTCTTCGCGTTCGCATTCAACTGTTCGCGAACGCATAGCCTTGCATCCTTACTCATCGCGTTCGCGTGGCCCCTCACGCGTTCCCGTATAACAAAGTCCTGGACCCAGCCCTTCCCTTCTACGCGTTTGCGATAAGCCTTCCGCGAACGCGATGCCTCCCAGTCTTCCTTCTCCGCGAACGCGACCCTAATGTCGCGATCGCGTGGGGTAAATCTGCCCAGTTATATTTTTCAATTTCAGAATAGTGTAAGTCGCGAACCATTCACAAAAACACCCGAGTTCCATCTTCTCCAAGGTCCTTAGGCATCCATTGAAGCTCCCTTTCATCAAGACCACTTGGGTTACTAAATTCCAACTTGTTTTCTTTATTTTTCACCATTAATTATTCAATTCCCAAGCTCAAATCATGCAATTTAGGGTAGAAATTGGGGAAACGGGTAGAGTTAGGGCTTTTCTGTTTTTCTTGATCAAGACCTCATTTTGGGGTCGAATTTGAAAACAAATTATATATTTGGGCTCGTGGATGAATGGGGGATTTGATTTTGGTCCGAACCTCGAGTTATGACCAAGCGGGCCCGGGGTCGATTTTGGAATTTTTGGAAGAAAGGTTGGGAATCTATATTAGGCATTGGGTTTGATTTGTTTAGCTATTATTGATATTATAAAGTCGTTATTTCATAGATTTGATTGAGTTGGAGCTGAATTCGAGAGGGAAGGCGGTCGTTGTGGATTGATTTAGCTGTGGAAGTTGAGGTAAGTGTTTGATTTAACCCTAGCTTGAGGGAATAGGAGTTGAGTATTGTTTGTTAATTGATAATTGATTGAGTACGGTGTATAGGCATGGTGACGAGTATCTATACACTGGTGTCTAGCATGACCGTGAGTCCGTATACTGTGTTTATTCCTATTTTGTTGTGTCTCTTCCTCGTGAAATTTATGAATTCTATATAATGTGAAGAGTATGAGAAAGAATTATGATTTGTGAACTCTTTGGAGCGTTGGCTCAAATGATAAGAAATTATTGAGTAAGAAAAGAAAGAAAGGGGAAGAAATGTGATTATTCCCTAGCCAGGATGTGAAAGTTATTATTGTTGTTCCCTTGCCGGGATGTGAAAGTTATTATTGTTGTTCCCTTGCCGGGATGTGAAAGCTATTATTATCGTTGTTTTCCCTTGCCGGGACTTCTATTACTTTTGTCTATCCCCTCGCCCCATTGTTTGTGATTGTTGTTTGGGTGAGGACGAGTGATAAAGCACGAAGGGTGATGTCGTGCACGATTGTGATATAAATACTAATGCACGAAGGAACATTCTGTGCCCTGTTTTGCTTATTAATGCACGAAGGAACATTCCGTGCCCTGATTTGATTACTAATGCACGAAGGAACATTCCGTGCCATCATATGAGTGTTTATGCACGAAGGGTCATTCCATGCCATCATTTTGTGAGGTAAAGCATGAAGGGTGATGTCGTGCACTTTATATGATTGTTTGGGTGAGAATGAGAGTAAAAGCACAAAGAATGGTGCCGTGCAACTGTTGATTTCCTACTATCGTTGCTATTGTAGTTGTACTGTTTCTTTCCTCAATTATTGATTTTATACTTGAACTGTTACAGCCCCTACAGCATGCTCCCCCTCCCCCTTGACTGGTTAATTTCTGTATACCTTTATATTACATACATATATATTGAACTGTACAGGTTTGTTTGGTAGTCCGGTCTAGCCTCGCCACTACTTCGCCGGGGTTAGGCCAGGCACTTACTATCACATGGGGTCGGTTGTGCTGATGCTACACTCTGTGCATCTTTTTGCACAGATCACAGCGCCGGAGCAGCAGCTTTTGGACAGCAGTAGGAGCGTTGGGAGTTGACTTCAGTCCAGAGATTTCGAGGTAGCCTTGTTGACGTCCGCATGGCCCGAAGTCTCTTCTATCCTCATTTCGTTTGTTGTCCTTGTACCGGAACAAACATTATTGTATTTTTTTCAGACTCTGTTTTTAGTATTCTATAGACGTTCATGAGTTAGTGACTCCAGTCTTGGGTAGAGGTTGTAATTGAATTTCTGCACTTGTTTTCAGATCATTTATATTTAAAACTTCCGCTTTTATATTAAATGTCTCATTGCCTTAGTATTGTCGATGTTGCCAAAAGGTTAATAATTAATTGGCTTGCCTAGCTCCTAATAGTAGGCGCCATCACGACTCTCAAAGGTGGAAAATCCGGGTCATGATAGAAACAAAACATGTCCTATTCTTCCATGACAGTTCGACTATTACCAAAATTTGAACTAACAAGAAAGAGAATATATGTCATACTTTTTAGCGACAACTAGAAAGTTACCAAAAATTAGAAGCAGTAAATAAGAGAATAAAAATAAAATAAAGATAATGGTAATTCAAATGGGATACTTATTCATCCATATGCAAATTATGGATATTCTTAAGAGAGTATCAAATACTAATAATCTTAGAACAAGCCTGAGCCAGGAAATTGACTTGAAAATTATAATATTGTAGAGGTAAATTTTGAAAATCTTTTGAAAAATAGAAAGTAGAGTCACCGCTATGATTAAGTATCTAAATTTACTTGCCTCATAACATGTGAACACTAAATAAATAAACTAGATTCATATCTATGAACTACCAAAATTGAAAAACCAAAGCCTTCAATATGTTGGAAAAACTCTATAAATACTAGGCTCCTGCATTACAAAGTTCATATCACATACTCTAAGAAATACTTGCTAGTTATATCATCATATATCCTTGAGAATGAGTACTAGGCTAATTAAGGGTCGCAAAAAAGTTCGTCTCGCAAAGATAGAGAATGAGACTAATCGACAAGTGACCTTCTCAAAACGCCGAAATAGTGTCTTCAAGAAAGCGAATGACCTTGCAGTTATGACTGGTGCTGAAGTTAGCATTATCGTGTTTCCAGGTAATTAACAAGCCTTATATTTTTTTTGTCATCTAGATATACATGATATATACCATCAACAAATATAACTAAATGTACATGCATCATCATAATTAAACATACAAATTTAAGATCTTGAACGTGATGAGTATTCTCACGTAAAAAATAACCTAATGCGATAGATATTATAATAGTAGATAAACTGATTTCTCTCCACTTATCCTATTTTATATTACTGATTTCTCTCTATTTACCCTATATAACAGTAGATAAACTAATTTCTCCTCTTATCTTATTTTATATTACTGATTTTTTTCTCCTCTTGCCTTATAGCTAATAAACCTTACTCTTTTGGTCATCCAAATGTAAATGAGACCATCGACAAATATGTTGGCAAAGAAAGACCTCCATCACCATCATCAACAGGCATTGATGTCAAGTATGTTCAGATGTTCCGAAAAGCCAATTCTAAAGCACTTAACACACAACTCGATTATCTGCAAGATTAGCTGGATTTTGCGTTAAACTTGAAAAGCAACCTCAAGGAAATGAATAAGAATTTGGATAGCCAACAAGAGTGGTTCATAGATCCAATAGAGAAGATGAATTACACGGAGGCTTCAATGTTGAAAGAGAGATTGGAAAATCTTCTCTTGAAGGTGAAGAATTATGGTACTGAACGTGGGTATCGTTACGAAAATGGAAAGTGGAAGGATGAATAAAGCTATATTACTATTGTTTTATTAATCGTTCTTGTTGTTGGCGGTATATGTGATGTCTTGACGATATGTATGCATGCTTGATCAAGGGAAACCTTATATTTTATAAGTGTGATCTTTCTATCTTTTAATAGCACAACTCGATCAAATTATAAGATGAAATAATTAAACATTGATTCGGTTGAGCTTTATGTCACGACCCGAATTTTCTACCCTCGGGAGTCGTGATGGCGCCTACTAATAGGAGCTAGGCAATCCAATTATCAATTACCTCTTTTAGCGAACATCAATAATATTAGAAACAATGAAGCATTTAATAATAAAGCGGAAGTTTTTAAATATAAATGAACTGAAAACAAGTGCGGAAATTCAATTACAACTTCTACCCAAGACTGGAGTCACTAACTCAGAACGTCTATAGAATACTAAAAATAGAGTCTGAATAAAATACAATACTGTTTGTTCCGGTAAAAGGACAACAAACGAAATAAGGATAGAAGAGACTCCGGGCCATGCGGACATCAACAAAGCTACCTCGGAATCTCTGGACTGAAGTCAGCTCCCGAATCCTCTACTGCTGCCCAAAAGCTGCTGCTCCGGCGCTGTGATCTGTGCAAAAAGATGCACAGAGTGTAGCATCAGCACAACCGACCCCATGTGCTGGTAAGTGCCAAGCCTGACCTCGGCGAAGTAGTGACGAGGCTAGACCAGACTACCAGATAAACCTGTGCAGTTATGAAATATCTTGTAGAAGAATAAACAGGAAATAAGCAGTTTATAAGGAGGGGGAGCATGATGTGGGGAGGCAACAGTTATAAACAAGGAGTCTAAATTCTAAGGTTATAATAGCCAACAAAAACTTAAATCCGGAATAAACAAACTTAAGCTATAACTTGTTGCGGCGCGCAACCCGATCCTCAATCATCACTGTTGCGGCGTGCAACCCGGTCCACAATCATCACTGTTGCGGCGTGCAACCCGATCCATATCCTTTAGTATAGTTGCGGCGTGCAACCCGATCCACATATATATCATTTATTATTGTTGCGGCGCGCAACCCGATCCATATATTTATTATTAATCCTCACCCAGGCAACAGTCGAAAATAAGGGGCAAGGGAGTAAACCATTAGTGAAAGAAATCCCGACAGGAGAACACAATAACACACCAAATCCCGGCAAGGGAGCAAAGTCAATAATTCAATATCCCGGCAAGGGAGAAAATCATCAAATCAATAAAACGTCCCGGCAAGGGAATAACCAATATCTCTTTCTTTTGCTTTCATTTCTTACTCTACAACTCACTTTACCATTCGAGTCATAGCTCCAAAGAATCATTTCATATCATATACCTTCACAATTCGCAACACAACTCAAGCCAAAGTCCCACGGAGTCTAATAATCATAATTTCTTTATCATGCTCTTTACATTATATAGGAATCATCGAATAAGCATGGAAGAACCACAACAAAATCAGATTAAGCAAAATATAAGGACTCACGGTCATGCTAGACACCAATGTATAGATACTGGTCACCANTCTTCCGATCTAATTAACAGAAAATGCCACGAAAAACCACAAAATTGAAAAATAATAAAAGAAAATATTTTTGTTTTGAAATTATGGGAGTAATTCATATAGGGCAAAAATCACGTGCTCACAGCTACTGCTGGGGGCTCGGGCTGCTGCGCGGTAGAAGAGGAAGCACGTGTTCTCGCCATCTGCGATAGAACAGAGTAGAAAGACAATCAGTATTTGAGAAACAGAATCGCACGACAAGAAAGAACAAAAGTGAAGTTTTCCTAACTCTGTAGCCTCTGGGGGATAAATACAGACGTCTCCGTACTGATCCCTCAGACTCTACCGAGTTTGTCCGTGAGTTGTGAGACCTATGTAACCTAGTGCTCTGATACCAACTTGTCACGACCCGGATTTCCCACCCTCGGGAGTCGTGATGGCGCCTACTAATAGGAGCTAGGCAAGCCAATTATCAATTACCTCTTTTAGCAAACATCGACAATATTAGAAACAATGAAGCATTTAATAATAAAGCGGAAGTTTTTAAATATAAATGAACTGAAAACAAGTGCGGAAATTCAATTACAACCTCTACCCAAGACTGGAGTCACTAACTCACGAACGTCTATAGAATACTAAAAACAGAGTCTGAATAAAATACAATACTGTTTGTTCCGGTACAAGGACAACAAACGAAATAAGGATAGAAGAGACTCCGGGCCATGCGGACGTCAACAAGGCTACCTCGGAATCTCTTGACTGAAGTTAGCTCCCGAATCCTCTACTGTTGCCCAAAAGCTGCTGCTCCGGCGCTGTGATCTGTGCAAAAAGATGCACAGAGTGTAGCATCAGCACAACCGACCCCATGTGCTGGTAAGTGCCTAGCCTAACCTTGGTGAAGTAGTGACGAGGCTAGACCAGATTACCAGATAAACCTGTGCAGTTATGAAATATCTTGCAGAAGAATAAACAGGAAATAAGCAGTTTATAAGGAGGGGGAGCATGATGTGGGGAGGCAACAGTTATAAATAAGGAGTCTAAATTCTAAGGTTATAACAGCCAACAGAAACTTAAATCCGGAATAAACACACTTAAGCTATAACTTATTGCGGCGCACAACCCGATCCTCAATCATCACTGTTGCAGCGTGCAACCCGGTCCACAATCATCACCGTTGCGGCATGCAACCCGATCCATATCCTTTAGTATTGTTGCGGCGTGCAACCCGATCCACATATATATCATTTATTATTGTTGCGGCGCGCAACCCGATCCATATATTTATTATTAATCCTCACCAGGCAACAGTCGAAAATAAGGTGCAAAGGAGTAAACCATTAGTGAAAGAAATCCCGGCAGGAGAACACAATAACACACTAAATCCCGGCAAGGGAGCAAAGTCAATAACTAAATATCCCGGTAAGGGAGAAAATCATCAAATCAATAAAACGTCCCGGCAAGGGAATACCCAATATCCCTTTCTTTTGCTTTCATTTCTTACTCTACAACTCACTTTACCATTCGAGCCATAGCTCCAAAGAATCATTTCATATCATATACCTTCACAATTCGCAACACAACTCAAGCCAAAGTCCCACGGAGTCTAATAATCATAATTTCTTTATCATGCTCTTTACATTATATAGGAATCATCGAATAAGCATGGAAGAACCATAACAAAATCAGATTAAGCAAAATATATGGACTCACGATCATGCTAGACACCAATGTATAGATACTCGTCACCATGCCTATACATCGTACTCGACAATTAGCAAGTAGCAAACAAGACTCAACTGTTATTCCCTCAAGCCAAAGTTAGGCAAGCACTTACCTCAACTTCCACAGCTAAATCAATCCACAACGACCGCCTTCCCTCTCGAATTCGGCTCCAACTCAATCAAATCTATGAAATAATGACTTTATAATATCAATAATAGCTAAACAAATCAAACCCAATGCCTAAATATAGATTCCCAACCTTTCTTCCAAAAATTCCAAAATCGACCCCGGGCTCGCTTGGTCAAAACTCGAGGTTCGGACCAAAACCAAATCCCCCATTCACCCACGAGCCCAAATATATGATTTGTTTTCAAATTCGACCCCAAAACGAGGTCTAAATCAAGAAAAATCAAAAAGCCCTAACTCTACCCATTTTCCCCAATTTCTACCCTAAATTACATGATTTAAGCCTAGGAATTTGATTAATAATGATGGAAAACAAAGAAAACAAGTTGGAATTTACTAACCCAAGTGGTCTTGATGAAAGGAAGCTTCAATGGATGCCTAAGGACCTTTGAGAAGAAGAAACTCGGATATTTTTATGAAGGGTCCGCGACTACACTGTTCTGGAATTTAATTATAACTGGATAAAAATTGGTCTATGCGATCGCGGAGAAGGCAATGTGATCGCTTAAGGTTATGTCTGCTGTGCACTGCGATCGCGGACATGATGTTGCGATCGCATAGAGGAAAAAAAAAGGAAGGCTGGCTTTACACAATGCGATCGCGTAGGGTAGAATGCGATCGCATAGAAGGATTTATGAACCCCCTAAATTTGCTCTATGTGATCGCGAGTGATATGCGATCGCATAGAAGGAATATCTGGGCAACCAACAACATCTATTTCTGCAACATTTCTAAATCTAAAACCATTCCGAAACACATCAGAATCACACCCGAGCCCTCGGGGCTCCTAGCCAAACACATGAACTAACTCAACAACATCATACGAACTTAACCGTGCGATCAAATCGCAAAAATAACATCAAAAACAAGGAATCAAACCTCAAAAGTCATGTTTTTCTTTGAAATTTTCATAAAGCATCAAATTTTCATTTTAAGTCCGAAAAACGTCAAATGACGTCTGATTTCAAACCAAATTTCACAGAAAGCGCTTAAAGCACATATAAGACCAGTACCGGGCGCCGTAACCAAAATACAGGCCCGGTACCAACACGTTCTAATCAATTTCCTTTTCAAATTTCCATATTAATTTCAGAAAAATAATTTCACAGAAAAATTCATTTCTCGGGCTCTAGACCTCGGAATTCGACTCATGCCCGAGTCTCATATTTTTCTACGGACCTCCGGGACCGTCCAATCACGGGTCCGGGTCCGTTTACCCAAAGTCTTTAAAATTAAAACATGAGTTTCAGCAATCCAATATTACACGACTATTACTCATGTTTTAATTTTAAAGACTTTTCCTCTTGTTTCTTCTTTTTTATTACTATTCACGTCCTTCCCAAGAAGGAAAAGAACGAAAAATGTAACGTGATTATGATTTCAAATGATTTGTTTACATGATAAGCTACATTCAAGAAAAATGACTCCATTATTATCGGCCTAAGATAGTAATCTTGTAATCTGATGATTGTTAGTACGTTTTGCATCATCCAACGGAGGTTTTTAATTTTTAAGGAATAATTTCCTCTTCTATATTCAACTCTCTTACTATTCACATCCTTAGCCACACCAAAAAAAAAATAAATAAATAAATAAATAAATAAATAAATAAAGAGAGAGAGAGAGAAAAAAACGAAAAAAAAAAATAAGAAGAAATAATGATATGTGATTATGATTTCAAATGAACTTTTTACCTTGATAAGTTCTATATTCAAGAGGAAGGACTTGATAACAAACGAAACCTAAAGATATTAATTTGATTGAGATTCCCTTCATGATTTAAGAGATCAATTTTTTGATGTAATCTGAAATACTACTCACCTAAATCATTGACGTGCAAAAAATAAATTTATCAGAAAAATAAATTATTTAGTTGATCCAATTACTATTTCATTTGATCATTTTGCCCTGTTACTCAAATTTCATTAGTTATATCTTCAGAAAAATATTGATAAAAAGAAGTTGTGGACAAACCTAATTAACACTTTCTCAATTACAGAGAAGTCGTAATGAAAGTCAAAAAACAATGTTTAGAAAAGCAAAACAAAGTTAGAAGAAAGGAAGAAAGTTATTGTAAGAGGAACTAAAATGATATGAAAAATCAAATCCTGCCATACAACAGGCAAAACAAATTACAAGAAGAAATAAACCAAGTTCTCGGCCTTGTAGACGAATTAAAAAGATTCGTTCTCCTATAATCGTTAGTACTCGAAACCTTATTCACTTTATATATTAGCAAGTTATATAGTTAATGTAATCCTTTTTCCTTTTTTTTTCTTTTCAAAATATGCACATGTACAAAGTGTGGAACAATTACTTGTCGAAATTCAGAGAATAATGACTTGGTAGGCCTTCACCACAAACATAGTAAGGTATTTACTTTATTCTTTAATTATAATTTTAACGATGCATTTTAGTCACAAAAATCAATAAATTTAAAGATTCTCGAGTTTCAGTTACAAGCCAGTTGGAAAAATTAAATTTTCGAGAAACCTCATCGACTAAGTTCGTAGAGTTTCATTGAACTTTCGCACATGTACATGAATGGCTAGCATATAGTTGAAGAGAAATAATTTTTTTCCCCAATTTGTGAACTCAAATCATGGAATCAAATGGAAACAAAAATCACATATCTCACAAAATCCATGAATATAAGTTGTTCAACAATTTTCCCTGAATTGGACCAAACCAACAAAAGCTATATAAGTTTCTCTTCTACATAAGGAAGAAGAGATTAAATTTTACTTTAGCTATGGCAAGAAAGATGAGCAAAGGTAGACAAAAGATTCAAATGACTAAAATGTCAAAAGAAAGCAACCTTCTTGTAACCTTCTCAAAACGTCGTTCTGGACTTTTCAAAAAAGCTAGTGAACTTTGTACACTTTGTGGTGTTGAAATAGCCATTATTGTTTTCTCCCCTGGCCATAAAGTTTTCTCTTTTGGTCATCCTAATGTTGAGTCTATTATCGATCGTTTCCTTACTCGTAATATTCCTAGTAACACTACTGCAAATTCTTCTTCTACAACTTGTCAACTTGTTGAGGCTCACAGAAATGCAAATGTTCGCGAATTGAATAAGCAACTCATGGAGATTCTCAATCAATTGGAGTTTGAGAAAAAACGTGAAGTTGAACTTGTGAAAATTAACAAGGCAAAAATAGGAAAGAATTGGTGGGAAAGGCCAGTAAATGAACTTGGACATGCTGAATTGGAACAGTTGAAATTAGGAATGGAGGAACTCAAAAAAAATGTTACAAAGCAAATGCAGAAAATATTTATTGAGTCATCAAATACTCCTGCATTTTTTCTTGGAGCTTCTTCGTCTAATGGAGGCCAAGCTGATGTTAAAAATATCACAGGCCTTGGACTTTCCATGGCCACTCATGGGCATATAATTTTTCCCTGATTAACTGAGTTAATCAAGAAATATTACAATTTTAGGTCAAGAGGTTGATCATATCGAGACTTTAAATTAATTTTTTGTTCTAATATACTAAGTTCTATATTTGAGTAATACCTGAAATGTTTATTTATTGATACTATGCAATTTGTACGACCATGCGTCCAGACAATATTCATACTCCCTCCGGTCCAAAATAAGTGATTTTTTGGCCTTTTTCTTGTAGTCCAAAATAAGTGATTTTTCCAGATTTCAAGGATGAATTAATTATTTTTTTTCCTACATTGTCCTTGAAGTAAATAGTGTTGGAATATGTGTTAGAAGTGTTTATGTGAGATAGTAAAGGTTAATATGGTCAATTCCATTAGTAATTAATGCTAAAAGGTGGATTTCTTAATCTGTGTAAAAACATCCAAAAAATCACTTATTTTGGACCGGAGGGAATATTAATTTAGGCTATTATCGTGGTTTGATGTTTTTATCATCCTAAAGTGAATAATGAACAAAGAAGTTTACAGTGATTTCACTCCAAACTTGTTCTGCATTGGGCTTAGTTCCCCCTTGAAAATATTGCTCCAGTAATTTTATACATGTGCCAAACATTCAAAGTTGTGTTTGAAAAAAAAAAAAAAAAAAAAAAAAAAAAAAAAAAAAGGAGAAAGAAGGAAAGCTGATAAATTAATTTGACGGGGCTAAATCAAATAAAATTGTTGTTGGAGATTTGTCCTATTAATCTTGAACCCTCTTATTCTTTGTTAAGGGCATTTTTACTCATTAGATCACTCAAAAAATATTTACATGTAATTTTGAGTCAGTCATTTTGAAAGTGAGATCAAGTTTCATTGTATACGGTAAAGGTGACCGACCAATTGTTAATTTTTTATATTGTCCATGTATTTAAGTAAAATTCTAAAATTTGACAAGTCGAGGGAGAGAGATAGTCATATTAAAAGGATTTAAGTTATATAAAGTAGGGGTGTACATAGATCGGGTTGGTTCGGATTTTCTAATTACCAAACCAAACCAATTGTATCGGGTTATTAAAATTAAATACCAAACCAAACCAATAAAAGTCGGATTTTTTAATCTCGGTTTTTTCGAATTTTCGGGTTTTTTCGGGTTTTTTTTCATAAAGTCTTCATAACATAAAACGTAAAATTTTTGCTCCAAATATTTCTTTAATCCTAGTAAGACATAACTATATAAGGTGTTTTCAATGAAATAACATAAATATGAGATGAGTCATGGCATTGTATTAAAATATTCAACAATAAAGATAACAAAATCGCATAAAATAAATATTATTAATAAGCCATAATGAAAACAAACATAATTTAAAATTATGACTAATAAGTACTATTATTTACCTAACTAACCACTAAAAGAAAAATAAGTTATACATTTTATCTAAACAATGAAAAAACTAAAAAATAGATATCCAACACTATTTTCATTCATAGTACAATCGAATTGAATGTCTTTAATTAACATTAGTATTGATTTGATTTTGGTTTAAGATTTATTTGAGTTACTAACATTTATGTACATTAAAACTTATTGGAGCATCCAAAAATTATAAGCCCAAGTTTGAAATAATACGTTAAAAGATAAAATTATGAAAAAGCTTAAGAAATATTTATAAACTACACTACCATAAATATTTTTATGTATTATATATATTTAAACTTCTATACATATAAAGTCGGGTTGGTTTGGTTCGGTTTGACTTTTTTTAGTTAAAACCAAACCAAACCAAATATGGTCGGGTTTTTTTTTCCAACACCAAACCAAATCAAACCAAACCATAGTCGGGTTTTTTTTCTCGGTTTGACTCGGATTATCGGGTTGGTGCGGTTTGTCGGTTTGATTTGTACACCCCTAATATAAAGTAATACAACAAGATTATCTTACACTTTCAATGAATTTTGACGTGTGATGATAAGTTAGTTATTATTTTTACCAGATTATCAATTAATGTTTATCAAAAATTTATCTAATAATTATATTATGTACATGATATATAAGTGATCTGATTGTCTATACATATCTAAATTCTTCAACGCATAAAACTTCAATTCACATTTCTAAATTCTTTTTCTCGAACTAGTTATACTGATGAATATTGTCAAAATCGATACTTCTATGCTTGACGTGTTACTTTTCTTTTATCTTTTGCTTTCATTTTGCTGGGTGATGGTGTTTCTCTTGATCTCATATACAGAAAGGAAACGAATTACTTTTAAGTGATTCTTGTAAAAATAAAATAAAAACAATAATTATCGGCAGAGGCAGAGGCAGAGTCAAATTTGAAATTTATGAATTCTGATTTTGTTATCGAACCCATAACTTGTTTTAGTTACTGAATTCGTAGTTTACTAATTTTTTAATGTAAATATAAATCTAATAAAAAACTAATGAATCCGTCCGAACCCCTAAATAATAGTCTAGCTCCGCTCTGATCATCGGGAAAGACAAAAAATCATTACAAACGAAAAAGAGGGTAAATGCAATAACAGAAGGGTTTTAAACCGTTTAAGTAGAAAAGATGTCATATAAAAAGCTCCCCGGGTACATAAATTAAATTTTGCAGTAGATAATATAAAATATACGAAAATTATCGTATTATATGATTATCTATCTTGAAATCAAGTTAAAGTTTTGAAAAAAATGTATATATGCTAGAGGTTGCATCTATAGTCCTTAACTATAAATTAGCACAAAGTCATTAAGAAATTTAAAAAGTACTGTAAAAAACCTCATTCATTCTTCCGACCTTTTAGATTTTAATAAGCTCATTCTGCTAACAATATAATTACTTTGCATGTTTGTTCCTCTTAATGGTAGTGAATATACATTTTATGATTATTGAATCTCTACTTGCTATTCTAGAAAATTTTCTGTCTCTTTTGGAAATTCTAGAGATAGAACCATCCATCTAAAGAATTATATCATATTTTCCTTTATTTAATTCTTATGTAACTTTATAATTTGTAACCGTATGATCAACTACAGCAATTTATTTCAAGAAAATTCCCATATTCCGACATAATTTTGCATTTTTTTCATATCTTATAATCTATATATGTTATTTAACTTTTATGATTCATGACTCATCAATATCTAAAATTAATTATCCCCGCCTGATTTCTCAAGCTAAGACACTAATATTATCCAACTATTATCATAATTGGCTTCTTCTTAGGTTACAACTCAAAAGTAAATGCAAAACATGATTGTCTTTAGGTTACAACTCAAAAATAAAAATTACGTATCCTTTGCTCACTCACCATCATTTATTCGTAAAATAATCTTAGTCTCTTGATTAATTACCATTTATCCCTGCTAGCTAGCTGCATAAAAACCAATCAATAGATAGAAGGGTTGACAATTGTAACAAATAATTAAGTCATTACTTATTAAGGGATATATCATAAATAAAAGTTGACTTTCACAAGTAATATATATGCCTTATTGTTTTAATAATGCCAACTAGGGTGCATTGAGTATCATATTATCAATCCATTAATAGGATAAGATTTTCTAACTCCCAAATCAGCACATTACATAGAAACAATAGTAAAATATTTTAAAGATAGCAAGTTTGAGAGTACCCCAAAGCACCTTTAAATAGTCCATATTTTTTACTCTGAATGTAAACTCAAAAACCACAAGAATTATCTCTAATATTCTTTAGTTTCAGCCATGGCAAAGAAACCTAGCATTGGTCGTCAAAAGATCAAAATTGCCAAAATAGAGGTCAAAAATCATCTCCAAGTTACTTTCTCAAAACGTCGTTATGGTCTTTTCAAGAAAGCTAGTGAACTCTGCACACTTTGTGGTGTTGAAATAGCTATCATAGTTTTTTCTCCTGCAAGAAAAGTTTTTTCTTTTGGTCACCCTAATGTTGAGTCCATTGTCGATAGGTTCCTCTCAAGAAATCATAATCCAGTTTCTAATTCATCACTTCATCTTGTTGAGGCTCATCGAAATGCTAGTGTTCGTGAGCTCAATTTGCAGTTAACTCAGATTCTTGCTGAGCTTGAAGTTGAGAAGAAAAGAGGAGAATCATTTGATCAAATGAGGAAAACTAGTCAAAGTCAATATTGGTGGGAAGCTCCTATAAGTAAACTTGGTTTGCATGAACTTGAACAATTAAAGGATTCAATGGAGGTTTTAAAAAAGAATGTGACAAATCAGGCAAGCAAGTTTATGGTTGAGACTACTGCTAATTCTTCTTATTTTGGTGTTAATGGGAATGGAATTTTTGACAACTATGATATCAAGCCAGCTCGAAACATGGCTGCTTCAAATAATCTTCATAACCATAATTTTGGTTTTGATTCGGCTGGATTGTTTTAATTCTTTTCTGGTCCGGCTCTTCCTCAGATCCCGTGCATGGCTGGAGCTTAGTGTATCGGGCTATCCCTTTTTTCCCCTCTTTTTATCAACTAAAGCCAACGAGTACCTCACTAGTTGGTCTTTGCTATAAGTTTCTCAAGTTCTCAGCTTGTGTATTGATTGCCTATATATGAGCAACAACAAATTGTTGCCCTTATAAATCAATATGTTTTTTTTTCCGCTTATGTTTATTACTTCCCCAGCCATTACCTTCATCCATTGCTTTTTATTAAGAAATCCTATCTTTATTTCTTAGTGTGAAGTTGAGTTCTACCTTCCCTAATTCATATATATAATATATATATCCGTCTTAACAATTTCTCTTAAAGAACATATATCAAGCATTAATCTTACCATCTAAATTGATTATTATGGGGAAAAGATGGATACATTTTCTCGTAAACAGAATAATAAAACATACTGTTGTTATTACAATCATAAGCTTAAGCAATAAACCAAATAAAAACTAGATTAAAGCTTTAGTAAACCAATGAAAAGTGGCACCAAGGTGTGACCAAATTGTCAATAAAAGGTGGAATAAATACCATAAGAAACCACATTCAAATTCTAACAATGAAATACATAAAGAAAGAATGCGCATGACCGGTTTAGTTTTACTTTCCTCTTCTTCTTCTTTTTGTTATTATCATCATCGTCTCCGATTTTGTCTTTTCCAAACTCTATTTCCTTGCCAACGTAGTCATCGTCTCCTTCACTCCTCTTTCTCTTCTTCGATTTTGCATCTTTTTCAATTCTCTGGCTCTTAGGTCTGTTGTTGTTGCCAGTACTTCGGTTGTTACCACGGAGCATTTCGATCTTTCTGCGTAGCTTTTGCATCAGCTCTTCGCGACTAACACAGGAGGGATTAGGATTACCATTATTACTATTAGGGTTATTGGTTTTTTGCAGTTTTTGAAGGGAGTGAACAGGGGCGGCTCAACAAGATTGGGGACCTAAAGCCAAACTTCATAGAGAGGCCTTAATTTTTTTTTAAAAAGAAAAAATCGTCATATATATTTTTACTTGTTCATATTATTATCATGTAACTCAACTCTATCAATGACTTGTTCATTTGAAGAACATCCTCCAATATTTTCTGATTCAAGATTTTTATTATTTGTTAAAAATCTATCAAGGGTTCCCTTTTGGGAGTTAATTAATTAATTCTTCACATTTACTTTTCTTTCTTTTTTTCTTTTTGCACAACTAGATTCATATTTTCTAGTTGACATATTTAAATTGAATAAAATTTAATAATAACTAAAACAAAAATATATACTTAGGATTTAGGAAGTAAGAATATCAATAATGACAAATTTTCAATGAAAAATAATAATATAAAGTTAGAATAATAAAATCAGGCCGGCTGGCTCAAGATTAACGATTGATGGCTCAAGAACGATATCGAAATAGTGTTGCACTGCTTCAAAGTAACGATTGCTTTTGTCTTGTTCCAATGCTTGAAATTTGAAGAAGACAGCCAAAAACAAACTTTTATTTTTTTTGTGAGCAAACAACAATTTTTATGCAATGAACATCAAAACATATGAAATACAAGAATTCCACGGAGAATAGGAAAGAAATATAAATATAGCAGTGGTCCTCACATAAATAAAAATTTATTAAAAATTCTTTTCATTCCCTAATTTAAGGGTGATGGAAAACAGGTATAAACAGCGGAAGCAAATAGCCAAGATCACTTGTATGTAATATAGACAACACATAATCACAGATATTAATCAACCATAAAATCAATACTTATCTCTTGAAGCGTGACAGCGATCGCGAAAAGAGCCTCCAAGCAAGAGCGAAAACGTCCACGGGATCATCCTCCAGTTCCACAGTCTTCTGCTGTGTGACCCGAATAATGACCGGAATAAGCGAAACTCATGTGAGCGAGTTTCTCCTAGGAAAACTGTATAGTAAAACCATCGCCTCCTTATGGAATAAGACCCATTTATATAACCACAGGTTTTAGGGTTTAAAGTCTTTTCCTAAACCTGTTGGGTCTTACTTTTTCACCAAGAAATATAATTCCATTTAATTCCTAATTATTCGGTCACAGCAGGGACCGCAGTATTTAATTAACGAGGCTTCCTATTATGGACTTAATTCAAAATATCCGAATTAATACTACCATAATAAATTACGAATTATTCCACTAAAAATTCGTAACTGCACTCCTCAATTCAATTTCGAAATTATTCCATTAAACCTTATTTTAACTCCCCATGTTAAGATTCAGATACTAATCGAATAAATTAAACTACTGACAATTTAATTCATTGATTATTTCTTTTAGACTTTAGCTTAACTTGTTTCATGTGACGGATACAAAATTCACCTGTAGGGTTTACACATGAAAACTTATAAGCTTTCATAAAGGTGTATCATCAATCTCTAGACCGAGACATGGATTCCATCAACTAACTGTTAATTTGCCAATGTATATCATTATTGTCCAACTTACCAGGCATATTGACTCACGAAAGAATCTCGCCCTTTAATAAATCAAAACAATAAATAATATACACAGCTAATAATAATTATATCAAGATTAAGAGTATAAGTACATTTAATGGCTTGAGAATTTATTTTATTAAGTCAGCATAAAATACTTATCTCTACTTGGTCCGTTCAATACATATAAAATGTACTAGCACAAGAAGTCGGAATTAAACCATTCCCATAATCAAGATAAATTATATTTAATCTTGTGCTGCAATCATTCCTGCTGGTTTGTCCAATTCCATCATTAGATTGTGAACATGATCTTTATACTTATAAGAACCGATGATTTAATCTTCCGTTATAAGCTAAAACTACACACTAAATCATCTACTATATAAGTAAAGGACACAAACGAATATATGATCTATTTAAAACTTTATTAAAATTGAATAAACAATTGTTCCATAATAAATACTATATCCAAACCAAAATTCATGGTTAAGTATATATCTCAACAATCTCTCACTTAGACTTTTAACCATGACAATTATTAGAATATACTATATTTAAATGCGTGGTTAATAGTATATGCCCTAACAATCTCCCACTTACACTCATAACCATGCATCTATAACTTTCACAGCTATCCTTTTGCACGACTATTAAAAGTCTTTGCCAATAAGCTTTTGCTAAAAAGAACTTGCCAAGTTATTTTCAAATGCAATCTTTGTCTAGTAGTGCTTTGTCGTAGCTAACTAGTTTGGTATTAAACTCTTCAGGGATCATGTTACCGAAAATATCCCAAGAGTGTGCACCAAACTATGATTTTCCTTAGTATTCTCCCACTACGACGAAGCACTACTAATATTACCTTCATTACCTTACAGTATTGAAATATTAGCTACTTCTTAATATAGTGTTCGGTGTTTAAACATCACTCCCACTCGACAACGGTATATTTTGTCTATTAACGTTCTCCCACTACTTAAATTCAATGGAACGTCAATTCCGACGTGTGGGTTTTGATGTTCTTGAACATCTAGTTATTTCTTTGCCTAGTTCCTGTAAAATTAGTTTACTTCTAGGAACATGGTTTATTGAACAGTCCTTATCTAGAAAAATGCATGTGTTTTAACAATTGCCTTATTTTCTTTAGGACAATAAAATAAACCTCCATTCGTTTTCTTGGATATTCAATAAACATGCACCTATCCATTCTTAGTTCCAACTTACATACCTGTTTTCTCTTTCAGCATATATGCTGGACAATCCTATATTTGAACATGCTACATGCTGAGCTTACATTCAGTCCACAGTTCTATAGATGTCACAGGTACTAACTAAGAAGAAACTAAATTCAGAATTTAATTTGCAGTTTCTAGGCAATATTCCAAATATGAATAAGGCAAAACTTAATAACACTTCATTAATCTATCTATGTCCCAAAGAGACTTATTTCTTCTTTCTACCACATCACTCTATTATGGAGTTTACGATATAGACAATTGAGATGTAATCCCTTATTCTGATAAGTAACAAAAGAACTTTTCTGATATGTGCTCGCCACTACAATCAAATTGCAGTTACTTAATATATTTCCTTGGCGCTTCTCCGTTTCAAGTCTTAAAAACCTTGAATTATTTAAACCATAAAGACTTACGGTGCATCAAATAAATATATTAATATTTTGAGTAATTATTATGAACGTCACAAAAATACTCAAAATAATCTCTTAATAGTATGTTCTTTTAACTATACAAATCAGAAGGGATTCATTCTACCTTATCACTAGCTTTATTTCCTTTTGAAGGGAAACATCCCTTAGTCAAATTTCCTTCCAAACGGGATCCACAAGTTGGCAGTGCCTCTACTTTCAATGAACCTTAAGGTCCATCCTTGACCAACTTGAAATTCTATCCAGGTTAATATGACTTAGATAAAAGTGCACAGATAAGTTTTACTCAATTTCGAAGAACATATTCTCTTATGAGGTAAACTAATATTGTTCTGTTTAGGAGAGACATTATACACGATAACAAGGTCATGCATTCATGTACCACAAGAGATAAAATATTTATCAAGCTCAATAACTCAAGAGTTATTCGAAAAATAAAACAAATATCCATCTTTTGCTTTGCTCAGAAACTGGAATTAGATTCCTTCTAACAAAAGGAACATATATTGCATCCTTTAAATTAATGTCTTATCACTATCAAAAGAAAATTTTAATAAGTAATACGACAAATTGCATAAAGTCATTATGGAGATGAGATAAAACTTTAAATAGATCATAATAAGTCAAAACACTGAATAATAAAATTTAGACTGCATTCAATATATATACATACATGCATCTCGAATAACAAATTTCGATGGGAAAAGAATCATCCATGCAAAGTATATTATATAATACAAAATTTATACAACTCAGAAGGAAAACAGAACCAGCTCCGATGGAGAGCATACTGTTATTTTCAGATAATTGTATATAACCATTTAATACTAAAATTTCAAACACAATGCACATATATGTATCTATGCATCTTGAATAGAAAATTTCGATGGGAAAAAAAAATACTCATGCAACATACATATGTAATGCCATATTATTCACTCAAAAATTAAAACAGATTCAACTCAGATGGAGAGTATACTGTTAATTTAAGTCAAGTGAACATCATAATTAATAGCTCTAGTTTCATTGATCCAACATGTATACTCAGATGGAGAGT